TAATGAAAAAGGGGAATTTCAGATTGCTATATACAGCAGCTACAGCTGTAAAATATGAACAATAAAGGAATTAATAATAATTTAAAACAAGGTTCTTAGTAACAATAAAAGTAAAGTCCAAAAATATACTAGGGAAGTGCACATTTTTGGAAAGCAGGTTCATCATCTTGGTACTTGACAAGATAGAATATAGGCCAAAAACATGAAGATGGAGGACATAATTTTTAAGTTAAATTCTACAATTCACAGTAAAAGTTTTTTGTTTTGTTTTTTGTTGGTTGTGGGGCTTGAACTCTGGGCCTGGGCACTGTCCCTTAGCTCTTCAGCTCAAGGCTAGTGCTCTACCACTTGAGCCACAGACCTCCTACAGTTTTCTATTAGAGATAAGAGTTTCACGGACTTTCCTGCCCAGGCTGGCTTTGAACTGCCATCCTCAGATCTCAGCCTCCTGAGTAGCTAGGATTATAGACCATCAGCACCTGGCAGTAAAGGTATTTTAAAATGTCTGTTTAGGGGCTGGGAAGGTGGCTCAGTGGTAGAGCGCTTGCCTTGCATGCATGAAGCCCTGGGTTTGATTCCTCAGCACCACATAAACAGGGGGGGGCGGGGGAAAGCGGGAAGTGGCGCTATGGCTCAAGTGGTAGAGCACTAGCCTTGAGCTGAAAGCTGAGGGAGAGCGCCCAGGCCCAGAGTTCAGGCCCATGACTGGACCCCTAAATAAATAAATAAATAAATTAAAAAATGGCTGTTTACTAGTGGATAGAATAGCTTTCATAAAATACAACTGCAAGAGATAAAAGGAAAAGAATTGATGCTAGTACTAAGGTTCCTTAACATAACTCTCAAAAGTAAATCAGATCAAGTGGACAAAAAGTTAGATAATAGATTTTGTACAAATAGATAGCAAACTCTCAAACCTCTAATAGAGACTGTGTGTGTAAGTGCACATGGAATATTTTAAGTCTGTTTGTATGAAAGAAAACCCCCAATTAGAAAAATTGTCATACTCCATGTAATAAAAGTAAAAATTATTTAAAAGCAAATGAAGGCTAGGTTTCTAGTTTTCAGTAGGATGAAGGCAACTACCTAAATCCAAACTTCTCAATATATTCTCAAAAAAATTGGGTGTTTTTTTTTGTTTTGTTTTTTTCATATCATCACTTTTGCTAAGGAGCATCATTTGAAGTGATTGTGTGAAGTGGACCCTCAGACCAGCCAAGTTGGTTCTGAGACCCGCACTGAAGTGGTGAGTGAGATGCAGAGCACAAAGCCAAGAGGTGAGGGAATCAGGATCCTGGGACAGCAGAACCCAGGTGAAATCATTTCCAGAGCAAGGAAGCCCCACCCTGAGTAGGCAAATAGAAAAGGTGTTAAGACCTGTTGGACAAAAGGGACTTAAAAGCATGGAGTCTCAGAGGGTAATACTGGGGAGAAAGGCTTCTTGGAATGGGCACTGGGTAGTGGGGGTTTGGTAGTAAAAGAAAAATTATGAATGTTGGTGAAACAGAATAAAAGGTTGAATTAACTCCAAACAGGAGTCATTAGGGGAAAGAAAAACAACTCAGACTTTTTTTTTTCCCCGATCATGGGGTCTGATCACTATCCCCCAGCTTTTTTGTTTAAGGCTAGCGCTTTACCACTTTAAGCCATAGCTCCACACACAGTTTTTTGGAGGCTAATTGGAGATAAGAGTCTCATGGACTTTCCTGCCCAGGCTGGCTTTGAACTGTGATCCTTAGATCTCAGACTCCTGAGTAGCTAGGATTATAGATGTGAGCCACTGGCACCCAGCTCCCACATTTCTTTAGATATTATTAAATTGAGAAACCTGGTATGTCATATCCTGTTATATGGTTTAAGAAAAATAAAACACTTCAAAATGAACAGAAGATGGCAGGCAATATCAATATAAAGTTACTTTAAGTAGAAAATGAAAAGAGAGGCTTTGTAGTAGAGTGCTTGCCTAGTAGCATTCATGAAGCCCTGGGTTCAGTTCCTTAGTACCACATAAACAAGACATAAATAAAATTAATAGTCAATTTTTTAAAAAGAAAAAAATGAGAGTCAACACATTAACTATAGAGCTAAAAAACTATAGTACATTACCAAAATCCAAGTTAAGTCCAAGATTTTCAGAGATAAAAAAAAGCTTCATCTCAGCCAGGCACCGGTAGCTCACGCCTGCAATTCTAGCACTCGGGAGGCTGAGATCTGAGGATCATGATTCAAAGACAGCCCGAGCAGAAAAGTCCATGAGACTCTTACCTCCAATAAACCACTCAAAAACCGGAAGTGGCGCTGTGGCTCAAGTGGTAGAGTGCTCGCCTTGAGCTGAAGAGCTCAGGCACAGTGCCCAGGCCCAGAGTTCAAGCCCCACGACAAAAAAAAGCCTCATCCCAAAATTCAAAACCCTAAAACAAAGATACAAAAAGGAATATGTGACAAAGAATTTACTGAACTTGAGAAATAAAAGAAGAAGAAAAATTACCTTTAAAGCTGAACTCCAGAGTACAGGAGGGAGAAATAACTAGCTGAATTACAGGTGCTGAGAAAAGGCATTGAACATTCAAGAGAATCAAATCAAATGAAGAAAAATAGATTTTTTTTTTTAGTGGTATAAACTCTATCTCTCCTTGCTATGGTAGGCAGACATTCATCACTGAGCCACAGCCACATCATAAAATTGTAATTCCTAAGAAGAAAAACAATAGAACTATTTAATGCTGTCATATAAATTTGGCCAGTTCTAGCAAGTCACATTTTTCCTTATGCACAGCATTTGATTTTTAGAAATCTGTTATAAAAAATGCACTGAAATTTAAAAATTTTATATAACTATTTGGCATTTTGGTAACAACCACATCAGAAAAAGAATTAGTGAATTTGTAACACATATTTAAATTTCTGTCCATAAACCTAGAAATAAAAAAAAAGATTCAAATATGTATACTGAACAGCTCAGGCTGGGGTTGTCTCTTATTAATATAGTGCTTGTTCAAAGCTGGGGGTTTGACTCTCAGCTCTTCCTCCTCACCCAACCCCTCAATTTAAAAAAAGGAAAGAAAAGGCTTATTGTGTACTGGGATTTCTGTCTTAGTAAAACTGTTGGGGGGGGGGGCGAGGAGGATGGGAAGGGAAAACAAAGGAGGAGGCTACAATGCTTGATAAGAAATGTACTCATTATCTTGCCCATGTAATTGTAACCCCTCTGTACAGTATTTTCACAATAAAAAATTAAAATTAAAAAAAACCTGTTGGACTTTTCAAGATAATGATTCTCCTTTTTCTGTGCTTCCAAACGGAAGGATGTTAACAGAATTGTTAGCAGTGACATATAGAGCAAAACAGCCATAGAACAAATATGGCTAAAGTCTCTGGGAATGTAAGCCATGTATTTTATCAGTATAACTCACTACCAGGAAAGATAAAAACCATGATAAATCCTACTGTATTGAAGTGTTGACATGATGAAAAGTGTCAGAGCAAAATCAGATGATAAAATGTGCAAACATTTGGTCATATATCATGAACTAATTTTAATTAAAACAGCTTGTTGAAAATCTAGGAAATATATTCAAACCATGTGCCAGAGATATGAAAAGACAGCCTATAAGAAAGGCAATATAGGGGAGGATTAGGTGGGGGGTGGGGTAGGGGGGGAGGCTGGGAAGGTTTGGGAAGGGTAAACAAAGGAGGAGGCTACAATGCTTGATAAGAAATGTACTCATTATCTTGCCCATGTAATTGTAACCCCTCTGTACAGTATTTTCACAATAAAAAAAAGAAAAGCAATACAGATAGTCATTGAAAGAAAAATGCCAATCTAGAAATATTAAAGAATTAAGATTATTCCAAAATATTTCTCACTAAAGGCCAAACGCTGTGTACTTTATGTTGCTGACTGAAGGAGAAATAGGAATTTAATACATTACTTGTAGAGATCCATTTAGTAACTACACACTGTATAGAAAGGAATTTGGCTACCTCTAGCAAATCACATTTCTCCTTGTGCATTTGATTTTTAGAAATCTGTTATAAAAAATGCACTGAAATTTAAAATTTTTTATATAACTATTTGGCATTTTGGTAACAACCACACCAGAAAAAGAATTAGTGAGTTTGTAACACTTTTTAGACTATCTTCTTACTGTGATATATTCAATAGTATTTGGGTATATTACTGCTTGGAAAGAATTTTATTAGACACAATAAATGTTGCAAGATATCAGTAATTGATAAATCACAAGTTTATCAAGGCTAAACGTAAGAAAATTTAGTGTGAAAAGCGCTTCGACAGATTGAATGCAGGGAAATGAAGTACTGAATTACACAAGAGAGCTACTGTTAATTGTTTCTTAAGCTAGATGCAATGTGTAAACTTGTAATCTCAGTACGTGGGAAGTGGAGGTAAGAGGATAGAGAGTTTAAGACCACACTGCAGTACATAGTAAGATCCTGTCTCGAACAAGAGAGAGATGGATGGAAGAAAGGAAGGAAAAGGAAATGAGCACAGAAAAAGTCCTTTTGGGGGCTGGGAAGGTGGCTCAGCGCTTGCCTTGCATGCATGAGGCCCTGGATTTGATTCCTTAGCACCATATAAACAGAAAAAGCTGGAATTGGCGCTGTAGCTCAAGTGATAGAGAACTCACCTTGAGCTGAAGAGCTCAGGGACAGCTCCCAGGCCAGAGTTCAAGCCTCACAACTAACAAAAAAAAAAAAATTTTTTTTTAAAGAAGAAAAAGTCCTTTTTTTTTTTTTTTACATTACAGGCATTGTTTGGGCTGTGGAGTGTGTGTGTGTGTGTGTGTGTGTGTGTGTGCGCGCGCGTGCGCGTGCATGTGTTCGTCATGTGTACACATTCAATAGAATTACTTTTTAAAATAGTCACAGTATTTTCCCTGACAGATTCAGGGGTTTTAAAAGTAATTTTTATCATAACTAATTACTAATTAGGAAACAGATTTAAACCCAGATCTATGTGATTCCAAAACTTGAGCTTTTTCATATCATTTCAGGATATCAACTTTTCAGCAGAAGGAACATCAGGAGCCAAGGGGTCTACTTAAACCTGTAGTTGCTGCTCACAAAATGAGGATGCAGACTCTGAATTGTTGGTTTAGATGTTCTTCATGCAAGAGCAATATACTGAAGGAGAGAAGTGTAAGTATTTCTTATTTATGGTAGGTACACATCCTTATATTGATGCTGAAGATAAGCATACAAGATTATCACTGAAGGTTGCAATTAGGAAAATGTGTGAGCTACAAGTATGGTGAAACAGAAAAGAACAAAACTTAGAAGGCATTGATTTCATGATGCTGTGAAAAGCCAGAGAGCCCTGTGTAATACTTCACAGCTCTTTTGTGTTTTCTATTATAAAACAATGTAAAGATGAAAGTTAAAATTTCACCAGACATCTAATAGAGAGCATTCTTAATTAGGAAAAGCTTGCCCAACTTTTTTGCATAAGATAAAATACTGGATTAAATAAGATATTACCTGTTGGAGATGGAATCTAGTGGAGATTTCAAAATGGTAGATCCCTTTTTACCTAAACCAGCCATTCATATTTTTACTAGTTTCTCTTGATCATGAGTATTTTTTCACTCAGCTTAGTGCTGCCCTTTGACAGATCTACCCCAGAAGTACTTGGGGTAGGAGTGTTTTCTTGTTTTTATGTATCTGTAGTTGATTTTGATGGATAATTAAATGTTGCTTCTCTATGCCCACTAACAATGAGACAATATATTGGATTCACTATTAAATCTTTGTTATTATGTGATGTTCAAAACTTATTAAGATACTTCTTTTTTGTCAGATGCTATGTTGATCAGTGATTTCAAGGAAAGCTTAGAACGTTGAAACAAAGTTGCAAATGATACAAGACTTCTAAGGTAAGATAATATAACTCAAGGTCAAGATTCTTCTTTCTTTGACAGATTTATTAGACTACACTGGACATGTTAAAATTTTCATCTGAAATAAATAAATATACAGATTAAATTTTACAGAATAATAAACTTCTATTTGCAACCCAATGTCATACAAGAGATCTTACATCCTTCCATTTATCAAACATGATAAAATATTATATTTGGTATAAAAATATCCATTAAAATGATTGTTTCTTTTTAAGCCAGTAAAAAATAAAGGAATGAGGAGGTAAAAACAGTAGTTAATTTTACAGAAGATAATGAATTTCCCTATATACTCACATATAGGAAGCATATGCTCTACTATTAAGCTATACCTCCAGCTCAAGTACTTGTTTTGTTGGGTTTTTTTTTTCTGCCTAACTAATTTGAGATTCATCCATGTTGTCGTGTATATAAATAATTGCTTTTTATTGCCAAATACTATTCCCTTTTATGGTTATACTACAGTCTGTTAGTTTTTGTTTTTTGTTTTGTCAGTTGTGGGGCTTGAATTCAGGACCTGAGTGTTGTCCCAGAGATTTTTTACTCAAGCCTAGCACTCTACCACTTAGTGCCACAATGCCACTTCCAGTTTTCTGGTGATGAGAGATAAGAGTTTCACAGACTTTGCTGCCCAGGCTGCCTTCAAACCATGACCCTCAGATCTAGCTTCCTGAGTAGCTAGGACTAAAGACGTGAGCCACTGGCACATAGCTACAATTTGTTTTTCTATGCATTTGTGTACTGGAATATTTCTTTGCAGTTTTAAGGTAGTATAGGTAAAATACTACAGGAATTCACATGTGGTCTTCATGAGGCTGTTTCTTATCTCTTGGTTAAATTCCTAGGATTGAAATGGCTGCATCATATGGATATGATCAAATCTTCATTATCAACTTAATTATGTTGAGAAATACCTAGGAGTTTAGATGTGTTATGAAGATGTTTGCAGAGGACATTGATTAAGTTGGGAGGGAAGATCCATCTTGAATGTACATTGACATAGACTGTGTGACATAGGCCAAGTGGCTCAGGCTTTCTCTCTGCTTCCTGACTGCTGTGAGTTAAAGTGCTTTCCTTTACCATACCTTTCTTCTATGATATTCTGCCTTGCCTCAAGTCCAAAGCAATTGATCCAGTCAACCTTGGACTGAAACCTCAAAAGTTGTCAACCAGAATAAAAATTTCCTTCTTTAAACTATTTCACATATTTGACAGTGATTTTTTTTAAAAAGTCTAACACAGAAGACTGGTAGTAGAGAAATGTAGTCATTGCTTTGACTGTTCATGACCATGTGATGTAGAAGCATTATGGACTTGGTTTTTTGGGGAAGGAATTGGGGAAAAATCCAGATACAGACTAGGGAAGCCCCAGAGGGCTACAAACTCAGCTTAATGTGTGATTCTGGTGTGAGTTCAGAAGACTAGAAAGCTGATAGAAGGAATGATGACAGCAAACACTGTTCATAGGATTTCAGATGAGAACTGGGGAATCCATTTGGAATTGAACTAGAAGCCATTTGTGGTAAAGAATTTGTCTACATTTGTTCATGCCCTGAGACTATATACAAGGTGTAAAATTGATAGGCTAAGGAAATTTCAAAGCCCAACACTCAGCATGGTCACTGCTAGCTGCCTTAGACAGTTTTATGGTGAAAACCAAGAACAAAAAGAAGAGCAGAAAAACTAAAACCCCTGGACATTTTGCCAGAAAAAGAGCATATTTAGAACTGAGGCCAAGGAAAACATTGCTGCTACAGAGATTAGGGCCCATAAACAGAAGCTAAGTGATTTGCACTGAGCCTCTAAGGAAAGATGCTTTGCAGGCATCTCAGGAATTGTCTTGGCCTAACCCATAGAAGGCTAAAGTGGACAAAAGTAATGCTGTATAATAATTCAGGTCAAATCTTGCTATACTAGTATCTTGTTACTTTATTACTTACTAAATTTGAGTTTGTGTTGGTTATATTTTAAATTCATTTTACAACTGAAAAAGGTTTGAGAAGATTTTGTCAATAGAAGCTTTATAATTCCGGTGAAATGAGCTTACTTCCTTTACCTTAAAAATATGTTATTTGGGGGCTGGGGCATGAGGCCCTGGGTTCGATTCCTCAGCACCACATAAGCAGAAAAAAAATCCAGAAGTGGCATTGTGGCTCAAGTGGTAGAGTGCTAGCCTTGAGCTGAAGAGCTGAGGGACAGCGCCCAGGCCCAGAGTTCAGGCCTATGACTGAACCCCCCCCCCAAAAAAAAATGTTATTTGGCCGGGCACTGGTGGCTCACGCCTGAAATCCTAGCTACTCAGGAGGCTGAGATCTGAGGATTGCGGTTCAAAGCCAGCCCAGGCAAGAAAGTCCTTAACACTCTTATCTCCAATTAACCACCAGAAAACCAGAAGTAGTGCTATGGCTTAAAGTGGTAGAGCACTAGCTTTGAGCAAAAGAGCTCAGGGACAGTGCTCAGGCCCCGCGTTCAAGTCCCCCAACACTCTCTCTCTCCCCCTCTCTCTCTCTCTCTCTCACACACACACACACACACACACAGCCAAGTTAGTATACGCAAATATTCTCAATATTTTACCTGCTTTTAATTTTTAATCTTATTTTTAACTGATAATTAATACATATGAGGTACCATCTATTGTTTTACTATATGTTTTCAATATTGAATAAGTCTTAGTTTTAGTTTTAGATTTATGGAAATTACAAATATAGTACTGAGTTTCCATATATTGTATAACCAGTTAATTAGCTACATATTAGCATGTTATAATAATGAACTAATAGCAACACGTTAATGAGAACTGAAATTTTATTGATTTTCTTGGCATAGGATATGATCCTGTCACCTTGAAATTATTTGCCAACCAAACCACATAGATTTATTTATAATGACAGTTATAATACACATCTGTCAGAATCCAGCTTATTACTTGGGAAGACTCATGGGAGTTATTTAATTTTTTAATACATAAGGCTGTGATCTCAACTAACTGGATCTGTTCTGCATTTAGCTAACTGATATCTATCTTATATTTAATAACTCATGTATTTAATTCATGACAGAAATGGTATTAATTTGTTCTTCCATTGGAGTGTACAGATTTTGTTTTGGTTTTGCCTTTATCATGAGTATTAAAAAAAAAAATTTGGCCAGCTCTGAACTCAGGGCCTGGGCACTGTCCCTGAGCTGCTTTTGCTCAAGGCTAGAACTCTACCACTTGAGCCACAGCACCACTTCTGGCCTTTTCTGTGTATGTGGTACTGAGGAATTGAACCCAGGGCTTCATGCATGCAAGGGCACATTCCCAGTCCCTATCATGAGTATTTCAGGTGTTCCTGACTTACAAGAAATGAAAAGACAATCTCTCATTGGATATATCAAAAATGTTCTCTCTCTTTAGAAAAAAATATTGTTATTGTAAAGGTGATGTACAGAGTGGTTACAGTTACATAGTCAGATACAGAGTACATTTCTCTTAAAACAATGTCACCCCTTCATTCTCTCCCAGTTCCACCTTCCTGTCCCCACCCACAAGTTGAATAGTTCATTTTCAACATAGTGTCAAGTAAGTGTCACTGCTATATATTTGTTCACCATTTGTCCCACCATTTTTTCATGCCCTCTTACATCCCAAAGGCAGATAAATGAACAAACAAAACAAAAGGAAAAGAAAGAAAAAACAGTAGCAAAGATTTTCTTACCAGTTAGATTACCTTTGCCTGACAGTCAAGTTGACTGCCTGAATTTTCTTCAGCAGTCCACTAGAGGGAGAGTTTTCCACATGTCCAGCAAAAAGCCTGATGATGGACTTTGAAACTGCGAGTGCTCAGTGTTAAAATAATTTGATTTGGGTTTTAGAAAAGATAGAGAAAGTAAAGGGTGACAATAATATATTCCATGACTATTTAAGATATATCTTCTGGATCCCATTTTCTAGAGAGATATTTAAGATCTTGCAAAGGAGTTGCTGTTTAGTCAGCTGATTGTTGGTCACCACAAAAAGAGGAAATGTTATTGTTTTATTGTTTATTGATGTCCCTTTTGGTCCAAATGTGGTATATCCATGGTTAAAACCTGCAAAATTTAAAGAGGTATGAGTGATTAGGACTATATCATAAGAACCTAATCATTTTTTTGTTACTGTTCATTGGACCATTGGTCTTGTTTATTCATTTAGACAAACACATATGTCTTTATTTACCTGGAACAAAGATATGGAAATACAGCACTCAACTGTTAATAGGGAGTAACACTGACAAGTGGAATTAGTAAGGAAGAAGGCAGGGAATAATACGAAATAAAAAAAAATTTTTTTTGGGTCCGGTCGTGGGGCCTGAACTCTGGGCCTGGGCGCTGTCCCTCAGCTCTTCAGCTCAAGGCTAGCACTCTACCACTTGAGCCACAGCACCACTTACGGCTTTTTTCTTTTTGCTTATGTGGTGCTGAGGAATCGAACCCAGGGCCTCAGGCATGCAAGGCAAGCGCTCTACCACTGAGCCACCTTCCCAGTCCCCAAATAAAAAATTTTTAAGGATCATTTACTTTGAAATTTAAAAACAAAAAGATATTTTTAGAATCAATAGTTTTAAAAGTTCACTAGTTTGTGTTTTATGTGTAAAACAAGATGCTTGTTCTATTTGTATTTAGAAAATATATTTTTCTAGGAAGTATTGCAATTATCCTATGCTTGATCATATTTTACTGATCATCTTGATTAGTTATGATAAGATATTTTACCATAAAACACTTAATTGGATTATGGAACTACATAGAACACTTAGTCATCATGTGTACCATCCTGGATTTGATCCCTAACACTACAAAGGCTAGTGATAAAATGAATAATAATAGAGTCCACTATAATTACTATACTAATTCTTTACAGATTCTTTCCGTCCAGTAAATTCCCTAAATATGTTTTATTGCAAATGCTGTATTCTTTTTTTGTGTGTGTGTATCAGTTGTGGGGCCTGAAC